ATGCAGAATGCCACCCCTGGGAAGACCGTGTGAACAACTTGGCATTGTCAAACTACAGAGTATTCTGCAGCTATTGCAGTCCATGGATAGAGTCTCTGCGTGTTGGGCTGAGGATGCCCAGGAGGCGTGAGGTGGAGGGGTTCCGGGTGTGTGTGTGCCTGTTGTCAGAGGAGCCGTTGTGGGTGGGTGTGTGCCCCCACTCAGGGGAGCGGCGCCGGCTCCTGGCCCAGCAGGAGGAAGGGAGGGTGCCCACTAGGTCTGCACAGGCACCTCTCCTGGGCGATTGCCTTCCACTGCAGATGTTACTGACAAGAAAGAAGTGGGCACAGAATGGGGGGAACACAACCCGATAGGCAAAAAAGCTCCCCGTTAGATGTTTTCATCGTTTGCAACTGTCTTCATCTTAACGAAGAGCCTGCACGTTTTGTCAAGCTGCAGAGTAGAGGCGTGACTTTGGATCTGGGTTTTGTTTAGCTGATTTCAGGTGGGCTTTGAGCTGACACATATACGTATGCTAATAGCTCAGAATTAAAACTGCTCTCTGGCTGGGTTGTCTAAAGAAACCAAACCAGAGACACTCTATATGTATAAGAAAACCTTTATATCAAGACTAGTTTTCTATCAAGAACGCATCCCTGCCCAGTCCAATCCAAGGCCACGGGTCCCCTGGAAGCCGCAGCCCGGCCTGCACAAGGCATAGCAGAAGCAGGGGAGCACAGGCTGGTGGGTGCAGAGCCGCGTGGATCCAAGGTCAACGGGACATGGCTGGACACTGACAGCTCGGAGGTCGGCTCCCGAGTCAGCTGCCCACATGGGGCCACCCCAGAGGCAGACACAGAATCCCAGCAACAGGGAGGGCGAAGGAGCCGAGAGAAAGAGAATTTCTCATTGTTTCTCATATAGGAATGGCCACCCCCCATCTCACCTCCCCCATCCCTGGGGCATTATCAGGCTCTGACCTGATTAGCAAGTTGGAATCCACCCCTACACTGTCACACAGTTGCAAGTTGACATAAAATCTAACTGCCACATCCTCCTACCCTGGTGCCCACTGTACTTATTTCTGGGGGGGACACACAAGGTGGCTTGAAAATGGAGGGGCATATGGGGTTGTCACAGTGGGGGCAGGCGCGGTGCCACAGTCAGAGAGGGCACAGGATTGACAGGGAAGCTAGATTCCTTCCTTGTATAGGACGACTGTGCACTGACATTCCTATACAAGGAAGTTATCCCACCCAGAATGTCCAGGCTCCTGCTGGTTAAGAAGCCAGAATCAATGTAACCAATAGTCTCTGCTAGTCCCCTCTGGGGACCAGAGCCACCATTGCCCCTCACCCCACTCCTACACATACTCCCGCGCGCACACACACACACACACACACACACACACACACACACGCCTGTTCAAGTCTTCCTTCACTCAAATTGGTCTCCCATTGGTCCCTGAGGCCTTGGAACAAGATCCTCAGTCTTGCCGTCCCCAGCAGATGGTTGATAGTAGTTTCCAGATTGGCACCCCGCAGCCTATGTTCCTGCCAGGCCTGAACTGAGCACCCCCTCCCCTTGTCTTTCAGCCTGCAGATCTGCCTCGGTGACGTGCTGACCAACAGAGTGGTAGATGAGGTAGAGTGGGGACTGGGACCCAGGGTTCCGTGTGATGTGCCTGCCTCAGGATGGCTGGTCCTGGAGCCAGGCTGCTCACGTGCTCAGGGGAGGAGCTGGATGAGCCCGGGCAGGTCCCAGAGTCCCCAGGGCCCAGTCAGAAGGGTCTTCTCACAGACCAAGGACCCCTCAGGGGACAGTTGTAATACAGGGAGGGCAGGCCGGGCTTGGCCAGAGAGTTTTCCATCCCAATGTGGGGTGCTTTGCCCTGGTATAAGCATGCCTTCTCATCCCCCACCTCCCCCGGAGCCCAGAGCCCACCCTCGATGAGCTGGTTTCTGGACAGCGGGTTGGCAGTAGCACCAACCTGCTCTTTGCCCCCTCCCCTCCCTGTAGTGGTTCGCCCTCAATGACACCACCAGCGGGCGGCTGCACCTGCGGCTGGAGTGGCTGTCACTGACCCCTGACCAGGACACTCTGGCCGAGGTGAGTGTGGCAGTGATGGGTGTCCATGCACAGAGGGGAGCGAGTGCAGGCAGCTCTGCCTCCTGGAGACGGTCCCCCAGCCCGTCTCCACCCCGTCACCTCCAGGATGATGGGCCCTTAGAGCCCCAGCCTGGTTCGTGTGGAAATCCATCTTTGTGTCTGACTTGAATCTGCCATGCTTCAGTGGGTTCTTGACCTCAACAGAACACCAGGTTGTGAGCCATCGTACGAGTGATTCCTGTGGAGTGTGGGACTGGCTGGCTTCCTTCTGCCACAGCTGGTTTCCCACCCCCGCCTCTCTCTGTGCTGCTTGCAGGTCCCCGGGGGCCTGTCCACTGCCATCCTCGTGGTCTTCCTAGAGAGCGCCTGCAACCTGCCGGTGAGTGGTGGCATGGCCAGCGGGCGG